AAAAATTAATAGTTGTCAACTATGCATAAGCGTCACTGAATAACAATTTCTCTCTCAGCATACTCTTCGTATCGGTCACGATTCCTGTAAAAGAGATCACGAGTCGCCGAAACGTATCTGCAAGCGGAGCGAGCCTCGCTCAGCGAGGTATACTTCAATGATACGACTGTATAAGCTGTATGTAAAACTGTCGATGTTGATCATGGAGTAAAAGTCGGATGTGAATCATCTCACTTAGCATGCATGGTATTCACGGTGTCATTTTCTTGCCATATGATAGGGGCGCCAATAACGACTACGAAATCCTTCAAAGGCTTCGGGCGCAGTGACTTGGGGAGCGGCATGCCCACGCCGAGGTTATGTTGCACCCACCGACGGGAGGGGAGTATGAAGGCACTCGTTTCTGAGAAATAACACTGCTGAATCAGAGCTGTTACGGTATTGCTTGCCATAAGCTATCTGCTCTCCGAAACAATAGCATGGCACGATCGGTATTTTCCCAGCACCCCTAGCCAGATAAATGAACCCTTTCCTCGACTTGCATACGATGGTATCATGAGCAGGCGAGTATGGTATCAACTGCTCTTTCGTGCCACCGAGGAGTAGAGTGAGACTGTAGCCCTGCTTCAATGCCTTCATGCAAGTTGCGTGCCCTGCATCAATGAGACCGAGTGCAAGCCAGAGTTCTCTCATGAACGGACATGACATGAGAATGACATGACACCATGAGGGTGTATCGAGTAGACCACTTGTAAACACTGTTTTAATGCACTTTTGTCTTCGTACACAAGGGCGACGTTATCGGCGAATTTCTTGAGCCTCTTGGTGTAGGAAACGCAGCATCAGTAAAATACCTCCGGTTGGCATCTAAAACGCATGACCGATCCAACTAAGAGATAATCAGAAACGATTTAATTGCACCGAGGTTCATACTGCGAAGAATCTAGGAGGTACACTGAATATGCAAGCAGGAGGCCGAATATGAGCTGCGTGAGGCCTAGCCCTCTGAACATGACCGGAGTCATGAACATCACCAAGGCAAAAGCGTCTTGCTGTGATCGAATGTGTAGAGGGAAAGCCATCGAGAGAAGGAGAAACCTGCATCAGTCCGAAGTCATACCAAATGAATAATGGCAGACGCAGCTCAGACTCGGAACGCAGAATTCCTCAGGGAGGCCGAATCATCTGAATTCAGTGGCTTTTATCAGCAATGCTGATTCTTGATCTGTGATTCTTGATCTTGATCCCTGGGGCCTATTTCACAAGCCATCATAAGGAGCGAAAATTGTAAGGTACCTTACGGTTTCATGGCAAGTCGCTTTCACATCCTTACGATTTGGGGGTTGGCGTAAGGTAAGGTGGCATAAGGCTCCTCACCGTAAGGCTCCTTACCCTACAAGGTGCAAGGAGGGCCTCCTCATGTAAGGCGATTTCAAAGGAGGCATTTTTGGGTCCCTCCTTGCCATCCTTACCTAAGGTGCCGTAAGACTGCTCGGGGGGTACTTTATGCACCTTATCGCACCCTCCTTACCATTTTTTTGCGAGCTTCGCACCGCTTATTCCCGACAGCCCGCGCGTCTCACCCGCGGATGATCTATCCCCAAACCATGCATTTTTACCCGGTGTAATACAATCCGGCAATCGCAACTTTTTGCTAATATTGCGGATTTGCCAAATGCTATAATTTCTGACAGTCTCACTTTTTTGCTCTTTTGTATGTGCTGCTTTCTCAGTTACAAAGTAGCAACCACATTTACAACCTAGCAATTCCTGGTATAGGTTTTAGCAACCAAATGTTGAAAGTAGCAAATCCAAAAGTGTCTTCCAGCAAGTCGCTCTTTTTTGCTCTTTTTTTGCTGCATTGTATATTTCCCCGGAATGTTTTACACGCTGGCACTTTTGCTCAAGTGTGCTTCGCCCGTACGTTTCCGTTATTTTGGCAAGTTTCGCTCATTTGCTGTTTGATATGTTTTGCGTTGTAAATATGTAGTCTGGCACCTTTTAAGGTTTGCTATTGTGTGATGTTTCTGCATGAAATATACAAATTGGCAGTTGCCGGTATGTGACAACGCTGCGCTACTTTCATGTTTCGGCTATTTGCTCTCTTGTAACTTACGCCCTGCGGGAATATATACTAGCGTTTTGCTCATTCGCTCAAACTCCGTCTCTGTTAGCGTTTTTAGCAAACTTGCCCTTTTGCATTATTCGTACAAGTAATATACAATCGAGCAAACATAGTTATGGGATAGCATTTCTCGTTCGATTAGGGTATTGCGCCTCATATCCATTTTGGTGCATGTTCATGCCCTGTGCACTTACTAAGTATCTATCAAAGGTGTCACACCTCGTGTCTCACTTCAAGTGAGTCACTTAGTATCGGGTCAAAGCGTGATACTATAAGAGTGCTATCACGGACCGTGAATTTCACGGTGATGGCACTCTAGTTAGATATATCATTCACTCCGAAGACAGCGCGAGTTATGATCAATGCTGAATACCCAACACATGATTGCTCTTGCACGTGCTCTTGCCAGTGCTAAGCCTACTGCTAAGCCTGCTAAGCTAAGCCTACCTCTTTCCTCGATAATTTCGATTTTCGCGAGGGGCATCTTTCTGCAATGACCAGTCTTTGCTCAGACTACGGAAGAGCATATTGGTTCGCATGCAATAGGGCACGTAGGGATCAGGATGCGTGTATGAAAGCCACGACATCTCGCATGGGCACCACTGGGGTGCCTGCAATACAGCACTGCACTGCAGATGAGTGATCCATGTTGATCCAAATAAGTGATCTCGGATCACTCAGTACGAGTGATTCCGCCCAATGCGAACTACCATGTAAACACAAATCCTCTACTTGCAAACATAATACAGAGCATAGCAAAAGTTTTAATCCACAATCCCAATACCACCAGTATTTCCCCCATTACTACTTTCGACACTACTTTCGAGTTCCCTCTTTGAGCTTTCTGAGTTGCTTGAGAATCTCTTATCTATATCGACAAACCAAAGAACTT